TAATAACTTGATTGGAATTATAACCTTGAATTGACAGTTTGATACTTTGAAAATTTTGAGCCAGCCCTACCCCCAAGGGCTGTAGGGTGGGGCTCAAAGGAGTCAGTGTGCTAAAATTTCTTCATTTTCCTTGTTAAGAATCAGAGGTGCTAGTTTCAAATCCTTTTTAGTCTGAAATCTGTATGCTAGATATTGAGTAAGGTGGTTTTATTGTTTTTTGTCACTTTGAATAATATTTCTGTTCATGTTAAAAACAAAATCAACTCTCTGTATAAATATATCAGGTGACCGTTAAGGCCCATGGGCCTCTTGTTTATATATTTAATAGGATTTAAGTTGAAGAGCTTATTCTGAACAGCAAAATTGATTAGATACAAAATTAACCGAAACAACATTATCTTTATAAAGCCTGGGCCCGTGTTCATGAAACCATTCTCTTGCTCAAGCACGGATTCTGTGCTCAAACCAACTTTTTTGTAACTCGCTTAAATCATGTCAAACGATCAAAAACTAAGAGTCAAATGTAAACATTGAAAACAATATCTTACTTTTCGTCTCTACAAATGTTTACAAATCATTGACAAAATAAGATTGATTTATTAAAGGGGCTGTTCGGGGGAAAATGTCATATTTGCTAAAATGGCATACACATGTTTAAAATACCTTCTTATGAAATAAACCGATTCAAATTTTGCTGAAATTCGCTCCCTAAGAGTAAAAATTAATTATATTAAAGAAATCCCAAAGCGTCCCCTCAATTGACCCTGATCAGTGATGTAATTTTACCGCATGCGCGTCATCAACAAGGCCAAATGTAAACATCGCGGCGAAAGAAAAAAATGCATGCAAAAGTCATGACAGGCACGAGGTATCAATACCGTTATATATAACAACAACATATAGGTAGGAATACTACATCATACATGACCTTTGAAAACAATTATTTATGTATAGTATTGCTGTCTTGTCCGCTAGTTGAGTCCGACATGGCTGATAGACTGCGTGCTATTGTTGTTATCTTCACTGTCTCACTTTCGAAACAACCACGTGACATATATAAATAGATCTGCGCCAAATTTACGCGAGGCTTCCCCTGGATTTCAGTGGTCAAAACTGGACATTGCAAGCAGATCTCGACCATCATATTGCCGTGGTATAACTTTTGGAAGGCCAGAGAACGCATTTAGACCCATTTATTTTGTAATTTTTTCCCCGACCAGCCCATTTAAGTTATAACAAGTACAAGAAATTAGTCTTGAGCACAAAATCCTTGCTTGAGTATGAGAACGGTTTCATGAATATGGGCCCTGATATTCTACGATGCGCTCATATGATATGCTGTAATGAATAACAATTCTACCAGTATGTACTGAAAGAATACATTTTCTGTAGTGTGGAAATGCTAAAAAAATTCTTGCATTTAGTAAATTAGCGAAAAACAACCTAATTGTGATTATTTATTAGTTGGATATATAAAGATTGTACAGATATATATACACAGATTTCAGAACTATTGTCCACACAGAAATTTCCACACCATGATCAGTTCAAAGAGTCACATTACAAACATTTCTACATATGAGAATTGTATTTTTCAGTAGCATATTTGACCTTTATAGATCATGCAGTCAAGTGCACTTTCAATTCTCCTGTGCATGTTACTCCAACAGTGTTCGAGGTTTACACGGCGAGATACTTTTGACAGGCGTCGCAGTCGTCAAAATCATATCCGATAGAAAAAAAGCCAACCTGCAGTGGCCTCTTATGTTAATAATAGGAGTACTGTACATGTATCTAGGCCAGTTCTTAGGAGAGATATGATTAAGTATTGTTCATTCAAACTAAGTTCTGATTTACCTTAATTTGTAATATTTATTATGCATTAAAATTTTGTAGTGGTTACGGTCGTGCTTACTTCTCCTGTACATCAGCACACACCTGTACTGGTGACGGTACTGCCATGGTTACCAGAGCTGGACTCCCTAACGAGGATATGGAGTTTGTACAGTTCCATCCTACAGGTAATTAAACACCTCCTTGGACGAAGATTTTTTCTTTCATTTACACATTTGTTGTGATCATTGCACACGTAACCAGTACTGAACACATAACTACACAAATACATTTTTGGTCAAAAAATAAAAATATCTTTTGCTTATACTGTATTGTGATTTGTCTTGAAATAGAAATGTCACATTTTTATGCCCCCGCCATAAAATGGACGGGGTATATAGTGTTACCCATGCCCGTCCCGCCCTGTGTGTCCCGTCCCATCCATGAACGGGGGCATTTATGTCTTACAGACATTTTATAGTTTTGAAAGATTTCACTATTTTGCCAACTGCTGTATTACAGGTATATACGGTGCTGGCTGTCTCATCACGGAAGGTTCCCGAGGCGAGGGAGGAATTCTGGTAAACTCTGAAGGCGAGAGATACATGGAGCGCTATGCACCGACGGCTAAAGATCTGGCTTCTCGTGATGTCGTGTCACGATCAAGCACTATTGAAATTAGAGAAGGAAGGTAGGTTCAGCTACTGGCCTGTACAAGTGTGTCCATAGTCAGAAATCAAATCACACCTCCTACTGCCGATTTGGATAATTGGTGATCCAATTGTATTCTCCACTCCAATCTTTATAGACGACAAACAAACAAATTAGGAACCTTCTTAATTTTGGATACAGAAGGTCAGTGTCATGATCAGAGACCCATTATTCCAAATGGTTCCTGAATTTTGTCTAGGATATTGATACTTTAAGTGATGATGCTGTATGGGTTAAGTCCAGTATGAAACCAATTAAATTCGAAATCCGAAGGTCAAGGTCAAATCAAGTTGTTTTAGAAGTGTCTACTTAAATGTTTCAATTTACAATGGAATAATTTTGTTCATTCTGCGATATTCACAGGACTGGTGGGATGGGGTTGGGTATAAAATTTGTCCGAACATACATATTAGTTCTAAAATCTCCAGTATGAGATAAAAGGTCGTGGCCTGCTGTGAAGAAATCTTAAGTTTTTTGGGTGTTTTGTTCTTACACAGAGGGGTGGGGCCAGACAAAGATCATGTGTATCTGCAACTGTCACATCTGGATCCTGAGGTGCTGAAAGCTAGACTTCCAGGTATTTCTGAGACAGCCATGATCTTCGCCGGAGTTGATGTGACAAGAGATCCCATTCCAGTCCTTCCCACTGTCCATTACAATATGGGCGGAGTACCCACAAACTACAAAGGACAGGTAAGGAATGCAAATATTGCCCCAGACTGTCAAACAAATTTAAAAAAAATCATATTTTCAAATATTTACAACTTTTAAAAGAAGGAAATTGTAAAAAGAACTGACCATGATCTATTGCAAGTTCAAAATACCAGTCTCGTGGTAATCAAACGTAACCGCTATTTCGGAAATTTGGAGGCACAGTAGTCTAGTGGTAGGACACCGGGCTCGTGACCGAAGGGTCGCGGGTTCGAGGCACGGCACTGTGTTGTATTCTTGAGCAAGATGATTTACTTCTCTTGTTCCAGTCTTCTCAGCTGTAAATGAGTACGAAGTTGGGCAGTGCTAGAATTGTAGAATGCTAGCTGTAAGCGCCGAAATGGCACCACCGGCTGTATGCATATGCTCCCAGGGAAATGAGAACGATATTGGCTGGTTGCAAATGCCCTATAACCACAGATTAATAGAATCTATCACCCCCTTGGGGGTGAGATAGGGGAATCTCAACCCGAGGGGGAAGATTCTTATTTGCCAAATTAAACATGAGTCTGTGAGATAGATTCTTTTTCTCTTACCCTGTTCACCTGTAGTGTATCATAAACATATCGTAGTGTTAACGTTACAGGCTAAATTCAGGGTTGACGTGACGTTGATGGATTGTTGATGTGACGTCATTGTATTGTTTAAGTGACGTCATGTCATTTTTATGAATAGGGGAATCCCCCCGTCTCAACCCTAGGGTGGGACAAGGAAATCTCACACCGGTAAAAGTGCGGATACACCTGTCCGGGGTAAGAGAAAATAATTTGCGAACCGCTTTGAGACGACCTTCAAACTAGGTTGTGATCAAGCGGTGTATAAGAACCTTGAATTATTATTATTATTATTATTAAATTGACAGAATAAAAATACAAAAAAGGTCAGAATTTGTAGGAATTATTTTTAGTATTTTAGGAAAACAACACTTTTTTAAGTCAGTCTTGGCGAGAGCCTAGTGGCTTATTGATTCTGTCCAGAGAACCAAATGATGGACCCACTTCCGTTTGGGGTGCGTGCGCATAATTCAGTCTTGCATGCTTCCGCTATATAGTTTGGTTATCGTAAAAAAAAATATGTTTTATCTCCGGTGTATTCTAAGAGTGTTGTTTGTGGTGGTGAAATTCGTGCACAGGGTTTGAGCGTTTTAGCAACTCGGATTGAGATCTGTGTGGTTTTTAGGTCACCTGAGCTTTAGCTCAAGTGACCTATTGCTATCCGTTTTCGTCCGTCGTCGTCCGTCGTCCGTCGTCCGTTAACATTTTACATTTCAAACTTAAAGTCAAGTTCTGCTGGGCCGATTGAACTGAAAGTTGGTAGGAATGATCGCCTCATGGTCCTGACAAAGTGTTGTTATTTTTCGGGTCGATCAGAAATCCAATATGGCCGCCACGGCCGCCATTTTGAAAACCTATTTCAAACTTAAAGTCAAGTTCTGCTGGACCGATTGAACTGAAAGTTGGTAGGAATGATCGCCTCATGGTCCTGACAAAGTGTTGTTATTTTTCGGGTCGATCAGAAATCCAATATGGCCGCCACGGCCGCCATTTTGAAAACCTATTTCAAACTTAAAGTCAAGTTCTGCTGGACCGATTGAACTGAAAGTTGGTAGGAATGATCGCCTCATGGTCCTGACAAAGTGTTGTTATTTTT